AAAAGCACCAAAAATAAATAAATCCCAATGCAGTCCTGTCTACAAACATACTTTCTTGTGTGTTTTTATCAATGCACCTGGTTGCATGAATGCAGCAGAGAGGGAAAATGCACGAAGGAATGATGTGGCCAACTGCTCATGCACAGCGCACTGTCCAAAAATTTAGACTAAAACCAAAAACAGAACAGTGGAGGATTCTGAACCTGTTGCTTCCAGTCTGGGAAGGCAGCTGGGTTTTCTGAAACCCCAAAGGCAAGGATTTTGCAAACAGGCCTTCTGTCTCTATATCATACTGCGCGTGAGAAAGTGCAATTGGTGTGAAAGATCCGGGACTAGGTCTGGGAAAACAGAGGCAGTGTGGGATTCAATCCAGTTTCAAAGAGAAGGATCCTTCAATCCAATTTAATCTACCTATCAGTTTCCCAGAACAAGGCCAGTCACTCTGGGTATATCTATATTTAAAGTGGTTTAAGAAGCATTTATGTACTTATGACATGGTGGAACCCAGGCAAGCCCAGTGAATCCTGGAAACTGTAGTTCTCAGGGGTGTGTGTGTGTCTGTGATTGGAAAGTGTACTTTCCCCCTTACACTGAGGGCTACCAACTTCAAGTTAGAGTCTGGAGTAGGGTTGCCACACCCCCTGGTTTTCCAGGGGTCCCCCGTTTTGGTCCCCTGCCTCCAATACCCACAGCCACCTCTCTTCCTTCTCTCTTGAGAGGGGTGGCTGCCTTTAAGTGCATGGACATTTCCTCCCAAGTCCGATCTCTGCTTGAGATCAGGCTTGCAGGGAAATGTCAGCTCCCTGCACTTAAAAGGGAAATGCCGGCTCTTTGCTCTTAAAGGGGAAACGCCGGCTCCATGCACTTAAAAGGGAAACGCCGGCTCTTTTAAGTGCAGGGAACTGGCCTTTCTGGAGATCGAGTGCGTGGGTGGGCGGGGCGGCGGACGTCCCCAATGTGACATCATCATGTCGAGGATGCCCCGCCCCCTCCCAGAATGCCCCCAAAGTCCCCTGCTGGGGGCGGAAGATGGATTTGGCAACCCTAGTCTTGAGTGCTCCCCGGATCACAACTGATCTCCATATGACAGGGACAATTTCCTCTGGGGAAAATGGCAGCTTTGGAGGCGGACTCTATGGTACATCACCAAGTCTAGGAGAAATGGAAGTCCTAGAGTGACACCACATCCCTCTCCAAATTCTACCATTTCCAGGCAGTGCCCCCAAATCTCCAGGAAATTTCCAAACTGGAGTAGACAACTCTACCCGTGCCTCAGAGGCAATAGAGGAAAGGTTGCCTGTGCTGCCTAAATCACAAAACCTGCCATTTTATACCACTTTCAAATGGACTGGTTACTTGTTCAGTGCCTTACAAGGGACTTGCCTGTGTTGCGTTTGAACAGGACTGACGGCCAACACGCTACTGACTTTTACGTTCTCAAAAGGAGAAGGGCCATTTTAGGGAGAACTGGGGGCCGCTTCGCTGCATCTCTGATGCATCTTGACCCTTGTGGTGCACCCAGTTAAGGCAGGGTTGCCAAGTCCGAATCTCGCCGCAGCAGGGGAGTTTTCCCTCGGATGACCGTGGCCCTGCCCCCAGCGTGGTGGCGTGACGTGCACGTCGGGGTGGGGTTCCCCCCGGGGCCCGATCTGCCGGCGGCGGAAAATGGCCCTCTTGGGCGGGGTTTTCCCCGCCCCCGGGGGGACTGGGCAAGACTAAGTTAAGGCCTAGTTCACACATGTGGGGGGAAGCGAGGAGGCTTTAGAACACAGAGGGGAACAGAATGGACCGGACCATGAGAGACTGCAGGCGGACGGCTAGCCCCACAAGGAAAAAGAGGGGATAAAACAACGTTCAGACCCTACAGAAGGCAGGCTAGGGACTCCTCCCTCATGCCCCGAAATATCTTTTTCCCTCTTCTCTTTTTGTTCGGAATGTCCAGCCCGAGAAAGAGTTCAATGAAACCCGAAAGCTTGCTCCCCGTGTTATGATATTCTACTTTGGTCCAGTGAACGTCGTTTTTGAGTTTGTTCTCGGGCCTACTCAGATACCTATAATCAGGACTTCTTTTGTAGAAAAAGCCCAGCAGGAACTCATTAGCATAACAGGCCACACCCAACAGCTGAAACTTATTAGCATATTAGGCCACACCCTGCCACCACAGCTCATTAGCATATTAGGCCACAGCCCCGTGTTGCCAAAAGTGTGGTCATCCAGCCACACCCACCTTTTGCTTCTTATTCTGTTTACCTTGTTTGTGGTCCAAACCCAGGGCCTTTTTTTGTAGCAGGGACTCCTTTGCATGTTAGGCCACACACGCCTACTGTAGCCAATCCTAATGAGTTTCTGCTGTTGGGTGTGGCCTATTATGCTAATGAGTTCCTGCTGGGTGTGGCCAACTCAGGAGCCAGCCGGAACTCCGTTCCTGCCCCAAAATAGCCCTGCCTATAATCATTTATAACAACACTGCAGGATAAATCAGGAAGCTCACCGCTTCTGTATCACAGACAGAGGGGCTGTGGGACTGTGAAACGGCTTAAAGGTGTCTTATGGCAGAGGGGGAGATTTAAAGCCAGGGCCTGCTCAAACCCCTTCCTGCTGGGGGGAAAAATACGTTTCTGGCCTCGCAATGAACTCGCTCAAACCCCTTCCTGCTGGGGGAAAAAAAAATACGTTTCTGGCCTCGCAATGAACTACAATGAACTACATTTCCCAGAATGCTTCGGGAGAAGCGACCAACACCGAACCAGCCAGAAAACAAATAGGGGTAAATAAACCATTTCAGTTCACCTAATGAAATGTGGGGAGTCTTGTTTTAATAGCTTGTATTATTGTTACTGAGAAATAGACAATCAAGAGAATTTGGGGGTCTGCATGTTGTGTGTTGGGGGGGTGTCTCTGGGTTTGTCTCCAAGTTCAGTTTTGGGCTGGGTCTCGGAGTCTTCCGGGATATAAATGCAGGCGTGGCCCTGCCCTCTCCAACCAGCCAACAAAAGAATTTTGGAATTCCCCATGTGGACCAACAATACCGATGTTTCTGATGGCAGATCCAAAATCCCCACACTGTATGCTGCCCCCCAAAAGGGATTTAAACAACTTAAAGTCTCCCGCGATTCCCAATTACCCATCAACAGAGGTTCCCCGCTGCATCTCTGCAAAACTCCCTGCCCTGTCCTCCCCTCCTCCCTGTCAGCTCCTACTGTGGAGGGTCATTACGTCGCATCAGTGCACTGTATGCCATTGGAATACTTCAGCCTTCCCGGTACAGAGTGGCAGCAGACCTAACGGTGTTGTGTGAACAGCTGTTCCGGTTGCAACCAGCCTTCCCAGGAGGGTGGGGTTTTTTTTAGACGTATCCCTGTGTTTGGATCATTCCATCACCCCAGATGTGGAAACTTAGAGGGATTTCCTGTCTTCAGAAGTGTGCCTGTTGTGTCTCTGTATGAGTCTGGGGTTGCCTTCTTCCATTCAGAAGGCACGCCTGTGCAAAGTGACTCATGCAGAGATGCACGAGGTAACCTCCATACTCCAAAAGCAAACTGTTTTGGCTGCAAGACTGAAATGTTTCAACAATTTAAATTTTTTATTTTTTGGGGGGAGCCCTATACCTTTAGAGGCCAGTGGTTTTAGAAACATTCCACCTCGGCTGTATGAGCAGACAATTTACCGGCTCCATCTCTGATTCTGCAGAGATGATTTCTGTAGGCCCATAGACAGGGGCCACAATCAGGACGGATGAGACTCCAGTTCAGCGAAGGTGCCACGTTTGAACCTTAACGCTGTCCTTCCTTGCTACCGATCTGTTCCTAGTGTGTGCAAGTTATCCTCTACTCCCACCCAGAAAGGGGACGGAAGGCCATAAACACAGAAGGTCCAAGCCACAGAGAAAAGAGGCAAACAGGAAATGGATCCCCCCCTCCGTTTAGAGATCTACTTCGGAGGTTGCGTGTACTTCCTCAAAGGAAAGTCGATACTGAATGAGCCCTCTGTGTCTGCGCTACCCATTTAAACCCGTTTGAAGCTGTTGCCTTGTTTCTAAACCAACGGAGCTGCAAACCCAGGGACAGAACTTCTCCAAGGAATCTCTAGGGGGGCATGAATTCCCAGGAGTCTTTGCAAAAAAGCGGATCGCTTCCAACTGGTTTAAATGTTGGCCGGGGAGACACAAACCCCGGTTGTCAACTTCCCCTGTTCTGAGAGCTGTGAGAAAACAGAGAGCCTTTGATATGCTCTGCAAGGAAAGATTCTCCCTTGGACCCGTTCCCGTGAAAGGGGGCGCCCCTTCGCTCAGCTCGTGAGCCCTTCCAGTTCCAAGTGCCCCTGAGCAGTCTGGGATCTGTGTGTGTGTGCGGACAGGTGGGAGGTTTGAGGACGCAACACACCAGAATCGTACAAACAAGACTGAGGACATTTCCTAGGGCCAGGGATGGACAAACCCCTTCCACCGCCTGAGACAACCCCTCAAGTACTAGCTGTTACAGTACGAAGAAAATGGGGGGGGGGGCAAAGCCAGGTGAGCTGTCGGCCCCGAATCCTTTCCAGACCTTGTGTGCAGCCTTTCCAAAACCTCCCTAGCAACCAATTTCTTTCCGTTTTTCCTTTTGCTATTATTTCACAATCATAGCTAAAATCCTGTCCCGTAATCTTTGATTCTTGACCGTTTGGCAGGAGGAGGAGGAGGGGCAACCATCCCCGCCGGCCCTGCCCCACCGCCTCTCAAAAAGGAGGAGCATCGCAAAGGCCAGGAAGAGTCCAAAGAGGAAGCGCCAGGACAGAGAGAACCCCAAACACACACACACACAAGAGGTCCCCCCTTTCGCCTCTTTGGTGACCCCTCTCCCCAACAATCCACATGCCGGGAAGGGGGAGGGTCCAGGTCTCCTCCTGCCACTGTCCCTCCCAAAATGGGATCCAGGGTCTCTCGTTTTGTGTTTTTTCATTTTCCTGCTTCGCCCCTCCTCCTTTCTGTCATGAAACCCCACCCCTTCCACGAGGAGGGAGGTTACCGAGCCAGACCACGCCTCCCGGTTGGCTCCCTATTTGACAGAGGAGGCAGTCCGCTCGAGGCCACCATATTTCAGGAGGTGGCTGAAGTCTGTGAGGGTGTGCTGGGAGCCCAGCGTGGGCGCCCTCTGCGCCCGGGTGTAAGCCACCTGGCCTTCCCCACTGTTGAAAGTGTGGGTGCGTTTGAGATGTGCATTCGCCTTGCTGGCAGCATTGTTACTATTGGAGTTCAGCTTGTCGGGGTTCCACTGAGTGGAATCCCCCGTCTCCCCACTCGGGGCCGACACCACCCGTCGCCGGTCGGGGCTGTCGTGCGGCGTGATGGGCATCTCGCCACCATAGGAGCTCCGCGTCCCGCTGGGCCGGTGTGAATTTGGGGCTTGCTGCAGCTGTTGCTGGACTCCCCGGGGTCCTTCTCCGCCACTCACCGGTAGATAGCGCATGTCCAGCGGAAGGTCCCCTGATTCGCTCTCCAGCTCCTGGTCCATCAGCATGGAGTGGCAGGAGATGGGGATAACGCGGCCAGAAGACAAGTGGTGTGGGGGCACCGGAGTGTGGCCAGCATGGAGGAGGATGACGGAGGATGGGGGGTCTCCACCCCGTATCGAAGCGTTGATGAGGTTGTGGCTGTACTCCCAGCTGCAGGGCTTCGGGCATCGCTTCTGCTGCAGTGGGGTCTGCTCCGGGGTGGGGAGGACCCCTGAATCCAGGTCATGCTGGCTAACCTTGATGAGCCCCTTGGGCCACCCGTTCTGCATGAGCGGTGCTAGCAGGTTCTCGGGCTGCCCGCCGGGGCCCCGGGCGTGCCGTTCACCCAGCCGGCTGACGCTCACCACCGACTCGCTGTGGGATAGGATGTTCTCCTTGTCTTTGCGCCGGGCCATCTCCTTCCGGTCGCGGTGCCCGATAAACCAGCACACACTGAAGCCCGATATCACGGCCCCGATAACGAAGGCTGCTACCGAGGAGATTACCAGAAGGTTCACTGACACCAGCCCGTCTGGTTCATCCACAAAGCTTTCAGTCACCAGCCCTGGGGAGTAGGAGGAGGAGGAAGAAGAAGGAAAACAGAGAACTGTGCATTGTTGGCTAACAATATGTGATTTGATGTACCAGCTAAACATAAGAACAGACACTTTGGATCAGACCAGTGGTCCACCTAGTCCAGCATTCTGTCTCAAACAGTGGTCAACCCATTCCTCTGAAGTGCCAACAATAGGGCATAGAGGCCAAGGCCTTCCCCTGATGCTGCCTCCTGGCACTGGGATTCAGAGGTTGACTGCTTCTATATATGGAGGCTCGCTTCAGTCACCACAGCTAGGAGCCAATGATGACTTTCTACCTCTCTGCCTGCCCTTTGACCTGGCTCCTCTTTAGAATCGGAACAGCCTGGCCAATGGCAGCCATCTTGGCTGCTCTACCCTTCTGTGGCAATGCCACATCTCAGGCTGTCATTGTCTGAGGTTCATCCCTCGCACAGCAAACTTCGCACATTTCTATATCTATTACTTTTTTGTTCTAACCAAGTGCTAGGCTCCTTCTCAAAGCCTCCAGTTTGTCCCCACCTCTGTTTATTTATTCAGAACATTCACCCCCCGCTTCTCCAATATCCTTGCCTGAGGCAGCTACAAGAAACAATTCATTTAGAACAATTTAAACAATTGATAAAGTACCAATACTGAAATTCTCAGAAGTAAAACAGTCCTCAGTAAAATCAGCGGTTCAATTAAAAAAAACACACACAACCTTCAGAGGGTGGATTTCTCTCTCTCTCTCTCATCTGTCTGTCTGTCTATGTATCTAGCTCTCGTCTGTCTGTCTGTCTGTCTCTCTCTCTCATCTCTCTCTCTCTCTCTCTCTCATCTTTCTTTCTCTCTCTTGTCTCTCTCTCTCTCATCCATCTATCTATCTATCTATCTATCTATCTATCTATCTATCTATCTATCATCTATCTATCATCTATCTATCATCTATCTATCATCTATCTATCATCCATCCATCCATCCATCCATCCATCCATCCATCCATCCATCCATCCATCCATCCATCCATCCATCCATCCATCCATCCATCTATCTATCTATCTATCTATCTATCTATCTATCTATCTATCTATCTATCTATCTATCTATCAATCAATCAATCAAAAGCCAGGGGCAAAAAGAAAGATTCTAAAAAAAAGATATCCCCATATCCTAAAAACAAACACAACAGGTGTCAGCTGAGTTTCAAGGAGGAGGGCATTCCACACCTCTGGTGCTGTCACTGAGAAAATCCGAGTCATACATTTGGTATGACACCCAGTCAGGGGCGGATTAAGAAGAAGAAGAAGAAGAGATTGGATTTATACCCCGCCCTTCACTTGGAGTCTCAGAGCGGCTTACAAATGCCTTTCCCTTCCCCTCCCCACAACAGACACCCTGTGAGGTGGGTGGGGCTGAGAGAACTTTGACACAAACTGCTCTTTTCCAAGGACAGCTGTGCCAGAGCTTGTGACTGACCCAAGGTCACATCAGCAGGTGCAAGTGGAGGAGTGGGGAATCAAACCCGGTTCTCCCAGATTAGAGTCCGCGCACTTAACCACTACCCCAAACTGGCTCACTGGTGCCCTAAGCACTGATCAATCTTGGTGCCCCCCCTCCTTTCCACACTGACCCAGTCTGTTTTAGTGGTTGACCTGTCTGACCAGATATACAATGCAGGTTGCAGCAATACAAAAATATATTTATATGATAACACAATATCCTGTACAAAGTAAGCTTTTCACCCTTTCCCCAACTTTGTGGTGCCCCCTTTGGCCCTGGTGCCCTGAGCACGCGCCCGGTCTGCTTAATGGTTCACCTGCCCCTGCACCCAGTACCGAAATCCCAGATTACAGCCCCATTGATCCGATCACCCAGGATACATCCTTAAACAACCCTGGCGACATCCACACATCATTGGGTCGTTTCAGAGGGCGGCTGTTGTCGGTCAGCAGTAGAACAGCCAGACTCGAATCCAGCAGCACCTTTGAGACGACGATATTTTCGGGGAACGAACTTCCGAGAGTTAAAGCTTCCGAGAGAGTCAAAGCCCTACATGCCCTACATAGCCAGGGTCTGGCACACCTGAGGCATACCTGAGGCATACCTTTCCCCATACAGGCCCCAAAGAGCACTTCGGTCGGGGTCACACCGCCTAGTGACCCCGGGACCTAAAGAGGCCAGGCTTGCTCCCACAAGGGCCAGGTCCTTTTTGGTGGTGGCTCCTACCTGATGGAATGAGCTCCCGGGGGAGATCAGGGCCCTGCGGGACCTTTTACAGTTCCGCAGGGCCTGCAAGACGGAGCTCTTCCACCAGGCTTTTGAGTAGGAGTCTCCGCCGCCACTATTACCACCATCGTGTACTGCAGAGCAGTGCCGTCGGGGTGGGCTGATTAGCCATCTGGGACATCTCGGCCTATGGCACCCCCCCCCTTTCTTCTGACCTCACTGTGATATATAACAATGAGTGAGTATTTTAATTACCGATGCATCCTGTAGGATTGAATTGTGTTTTAAGTGGTTAATTGTGTAATTTTATCGCACTTTGGGTGCCTAAATTGTTTTAATCGTGTTATATTTTATTGCACTACTGTGCCTATGTAAGCCGCCCTGAGCCCGCATGCGGGGAGGGCGGGGTATAAATGAAATGAAATAAATAAATAAATAAAAGTTGCCTGACATCCATCTGAGTCAAAACTATCTAATGAAGCCCCCCTTTGACTCTCGGAAGCTCATTCCCTAAAGACCTTGTTGGTCCCTAAGGCGCTACTGGACTCAAATCTAGTTGTTCTGCATCACTGTGTATTACCCTGCTGTCGTGCCATAGCATTAATTCGCAACTGGGTTATCCCGTGTGTGGATAAGCTGACCCGGTTGCAAACGATGGCTACAGCAGAACAACGGTGCAATATCCAGCAATGCGTGGATGCCGCACCGGTTGCATCCACCAATGTCCCAAAGGTCACTTCCCCCTCCCTTGCACATGTGGATGCTCCACTAGAAAGGGGGCTGTTTGCTACATTGCCAACGTCGACGGAGAAACACACACCTTCGCAGTCGCCGAGGTGAGACGTCTTCCCACCTGCAGTGTCTTGCTCAAACGTGGCCCTGCAGGCAGATCAAGAGAGTAAGAGAGAGAAGAAGAAGAAGAAGAGTTTGGATTTATACCCTGCCCTCCACTCAGAGCGGCTTACTATCTCCTCCCCTTCCACTCCCCACAACAGACACCCTGTGAGGTAGGTGGGGCTGAGAGAGGTCCTTGAGAGAGCAGCTCTGAGAGAACTGTAGTTGGCCCAAGGTTACCCAGCTGGCTGCATGTGGAGGAGTGGGGAATCAAACTCAGCTTTCCAGATTCGAGTCCGCCGCTCTTAACCGCTACACCAAACTGCCTGGAGAATGTCAGAGAAAGGAATGGATTTGGCGAGTGGGATTGGTCCGCAAAATGGAGGAGTAGGTGGAGGATCTCTGAAGACCCCTTTTTGCCCAAATGTTTTTCAGTCCTCAGTTGTGGAACATGCTTCGTGGACGGTCCCAGGTTCAGATCCTGACGTCTCCAATTAAAAGTAGCCAGGGTTGATAAAGGCCTGAGGCTGGAGCCAGTGAGAGGGGACAATACTGGGGTAGACGGACCAACCAATTAGTTTGACTTGGTGTAAGAAAGGGTTGTAAAGGAAGATTTCCCCTGTCCTGGATGGCCCAGGTTAGGCCTATCTCATCAGATCTTGGAAGCTAAGCTGGGTCGGCCTCAGTGAGTACTTTGATGGGTGACCGCCAAGGGAGTCAAGGGCTAAGAAACAGAGGCAGGTAATGGCAAACCATCTCTGTTTGCCTTTTGACTCAAAAACCCTACTGAATCACCAAGAAGAAGAGCTGGTTTTTATACCCCGCTTTTCTCTACAGCTTACAATAGGAAGAGGTGTACTGCCAGTGCCACGGGCTCGGCACACGCTCAAAAGCACTTTCTCCTTTATTATTATTACTGCTATTAATCTAAATCAGGAAGCAAAACAGGTTCTGAGGCTAACGTCCTGAGTCAGTTTGGTGTAGTGGTTCAGTGCGCGGACTCGAATCTGGGAGAACCGGGTTTGATTCCCCACTCCTCCACTTGCAGCTGCTGGATGACCTTGGGCAAGCCATAGTTCTGTCAGAACTGTTCTTGAAAAAGAGCAGTTTCTGTCAGAGCTCTCTCAGCCCCACCTACCTCAGAGGGTGTCTGTTGTGTGGAGGGGAAGGGAAAGGAGTTTGTGAGCCGCTCTGAGAGTCCCTTGGGTGGGGTATAAATCCAATCTCTTCTTCTTCTGCTGGAGTCCCAGAAAGAGGAGGAACTAACAAGCCATAGATTTGTGGAAGAAGAAGAAGAGCTGGTTTTTATACCCCGCTTTTCTCTACCTAAGAAGTCTCAAAGCGGCTAACAATCACCTTCCCTTCCACTCCCCACAACAGACACCCTGTGAGGTAGGTGGGGCTGAGAGAGCTCTGAGAGAACAGTGACTGGCCCAAGGTCACCCAGTAGGCTGCAAGTGGTATAGTGGGGAATCAAACCCGGTTCGGGGAATCAACCCCGGTCCTCCGGATGAGAATGTGCCACTCTCAGCCGCTCCACCATTCTGCAACGTGATGGCACTTTCCACCACCACGAGGGGACAGTATGTTCATAAATCTTTGCCAATGCATATCTCTTAACCAGAGATGACAAGACAATCATTCCCCGCTCCCCAGGGTTGCTGGGGAGGACATGGATCTTGGTGGGCTACGGTTCTCCGGATGAGAATGTGCCACTCTCAACCGCTCCACCATTCTGCAATGTGATGGCACTTTCCACCACCACGAGGGGGTCATGTTCATAAATCTTTGCCAATGCATTTCTCTTAACCGGAGATGACAAGACAATAATTCCCCGCTCCCCAGGGTGGCTGGGGAGGACATGGATCTTGGTGGGCTACAATGCCAGCGAGTCCACCGTCCAAAGCATCCATTTTCTTCAGGGGAACTGATCTCTGTAGTCTGGAGATGAGCTGAAATTCCGGGAGACTCACAGGCCCCCCCTGGCGGCTGGCGTCCTTACCCCTCCCATAGCAGGGTACCCGCTTTGCACACAGAAGCTCCCAGGTTCAAGCTGCAGCATCCCCAGTTAAATGGTCTCAGGTAGCAGAGTCCAGAGATATTCCTCCGCCTGGAGATCTGAAGCCTGCCGGGGCCACCTCTGTAAGGACCATGATTCTAGACCCTCGCACTTCGAGACGAATTTTCGAAAGAAACGGAAGTTCTCGCTCGCCTCCGTTTCCCACCCAAATAATGATACAAGGATATTTGCCAAGAAATACCTGGTGCTTGAGTCTACGAAAATACAGGAGCCTTCGGGAGTCCAGCCGCAATAGGGGTCACGGCTCCCCAGACAACTCCTAAGGGGCAGAAAATAAAGGGAGAGTTAGCAAAATCTAAGCAAAGGAAAGTGAAGGTAAAAGGTAAAGGTTTCCCTTGCTCGAAAGCTAGTCGAATCCGACTCGAGGGGGCAGTGCTCATCTCCATTTCCAAGCCGATGAGCCAGCGCTGTCTGAAGACGTTTCCGCGGTCATGTGGCCGGCATGAGTAGATGACGAGGCGCACGGAACGCTGTTACCTTCCCACCGAAGCGGTACCTATTTATCTATTTGCAATGTCTTGCTTTCGAACTGCTAGGCTGGCGGGAGCTGGAATCAGAGGTCCGTCATGCGGCACTCGGGTCTCGAACTGCTGATCTACAGACCTTCCAGTCTGCAGCTCAGAGTCTTAGCCACTTGAGCCACTGCGGTGCCTAAGCAAAGAAAAAGACTGCATCAAAGGAAAAGGAGTTTGGTTGGGGAGACCTGTAGCCCACAATTCCCAGGGATCCCTAGGTGGAAAGGCACAAGTAAAAAAACTAGGACATGGCCCTCATAATCAAACCAACATTTATTTGGAAAGGAGTTATTTGCGGCACTGCGGTTCCAAAACCCAAACCCCACAACCAATTCCGGTAAAAACTTTTTGTTAGGCAATAAATGTATTACACAATTGAGGAAAAAACACAAGCCCACTAGAAAACTAATTGAGATACCCTGGTTACTTCTGAGATTTCAGCCCACAGACATTACTAAGGACTAGAAAGTGGTGGTGGTGGGGGGTTGTTTAAAAAAAGTTAAGTGGAGGTTTTAAAGAAACTGGATTCCGCTAAATATCGCCATCCTGCACTGACTGCTACAGCATCGTGGTAGTTATGCGGACTGACATTCATCATAGCTCTGCGCTGTGTCTGACGCTTCCTTGAATGCTGTCGAACTGGAAAACGTTCTCAAAAAAAATAATTCTGGGGTTTGTACGGTTTGCTGCAGCCCTCACTTCCTAATCTGTGACGTCACTTTGACCTACTTGAGGTTCACGAGTGCATCAACAGAGCACTGCAAAAGCAACAGGATGGCGCACCAAGATTCTTTTAGTGCAGTGTTTTACCAGTGTATGTGCATTACTAAAACACTCCATTCCGTAGTCACAACAAGATTGCTTTTTTTGGTATTTTTCACATGTATGTGTGTGTGAGCAGGGGTCATTTCGTAGAAAAAGAGGTGCAGGAGCTTATTAGCATAACTTATTAGCATAACTTATTTGCATATGCCACCCCCCGTGACATCACCAGAAGTGTGTCAGAAGGCAACACCTACCGCTCAGGCTCCACTGGACTGTTCTGGATCGCTAGCTACTTGGGGGGGGGGGAATGTGCCTGAATAAAACTTGGTCTTAAAGGTGCCACTGGACTGTCTTGGATTGCTAGCTATGGGGCGGAGGGGAACACACAGATCTGCCCTCACAGAGGAAGGAGAGCTTGTACCTGAAGGCGGGATGGGGGGGGCTCTGCAACTTACCTGGCTGCTTCTTGCTCTGACTGAGGGCTGCTGGGAGCAGGGGGTGGGGCTTGTTGTGTGTGCCCGCCCCCTGGGCTCCTTACTGCCGGAGCTCCGTTCCTGTGCGCTCCCGCAGGAAATGACCCCTGTGTGTGAGTGAGTGTGTGTGCACCTGGAAGTCATGGAGACCTCTGGTGACTGACGTCTACTGGGGGCCTGGAGGATATTCAGAGAGGTGGCTGAATAAAGCCTGCCCCCGCCTCCCAACTGCTGGTATTCCAAGGAGGTCTCCCATCGAAGTGCTCGCCAGAGTCGACCCTGCTTAGCTTCTGAGATCTGACAAGATTTGGGCTTGCCCGGTCAGGGCAAGATGGGTTTTTTTGTGCGTGTGGTGTTTTTATTCATGCAGATGTGCACAGCCAAAACAGACACGGGGGAAAGATGCACACGAACTGAATAGGGGTGCAGAATGCACATACACAGTGCATAGTCCAACCTTTGCAAATTAAGAAATGAACACGAGTGGGTTTTTAATGTGTTCATTTGAATTCAGAAACGAAGCTGGGCCTTCTGGAACTCTGAAACCCAGAAGAAAATTTGGACGAGAATTTCTGATGCATTCCTATGACTATCAAATGATCAGCTTAGATCCAGCAAGGCACAAGCGAAAACAGATTTAGCACGGTTCCGCTTGCGTGAGATCTTTCTGCAACATCTACAGCTTTCAGTTCTAATAGTGCCCAGAAATTGCTTGCACGTCTCGTGCAAGTGGAAAAATGGCATGCCATATGCTTCACTTAGCGCAAGGGTTTCCCCCCCCACACTTCGACAAGGACCCTAGCATATGTGGGGATCTGTAGGTGAATTCAAGCCTTTACTTTGTATTAATCAGACAAACCCATCAGCCATTGAATACCTTTCCTGATTTTCTCACTCCTGGTCTGGATCTGCAAAACCAGGGAGGCTGTTAAGAGCCTGAAATGACCCCAGACCTATACGGGAGGTGGATGGGATTTGGGCCCGGACTAGGGATGCCAACCACCAAGTAGGACCCGGGGACCTAGGGTATAGACCAGCTGAAACGTGTCCATAGGAAAGCAACAAAGTTGGTGAGGGGCCTGGAGACCAAGTCCTATGAGAAAAGGTTGAAGGAGTTGAGTATGCTTAGCCAGGAGAGAAGACGACTGAGAGGTGATATGATAACCAACTTCAAGTCCTTGAAGGGCTGTCATCTAGAGGATGGGGCGGAGTTGTTTTCTGTGGCCCCAGAAGGTCGGACCAGAACCAACGGGTTGAAATTACATCAGAAGGAGTTTCAGCTAAACATTAGGAAGAACGTCTTGAGAGTTAGAGGCTTCCTCGGGAGGTGGGGGGCTCTCCTTCTCTGGAGGTTTTCAAACAGAGGCTAGATGGCCATCTGACAGCAATG